CGTTGAACCAAGTGCCCGGTGACAGACCCGCTGCCACCACTAACCAGAGCAGCGCAGCTGCTGCCACTGAGTCCCTGCAGCACGGCTGCCCTGCGTGGTCCCTCTGCTCTAAATGCAGCTCCAGAGAGGCTGGGTTTGAGAAGGTCACATCCCAGCTCCCCAGTACGTTTGGGGAAAAAAAGAGAAAGCAATGGTAGCGCAAACGCATCTGTTTATCGGTACATAAAGTTACTAATTTTGGATCATTCCTTTGCTCATTTTAGGAGAGGCTTTTATGGATTAGGAGCCAAATATTTTGCCATGGCCCTTCTCTCCCTCCACCCAGATCTCATTTCTTCTTACTCCTGAGAAACCCTGCTCTCTCTTCTTCCCACGGTGACAATGACGGGTGGAAATAGGCTTCGACTGCAGTAAGAAAATGGTTAGTTTAAACACGAAGGAAGAGTGACACTAACCTTAAGTTCACAGTTGGATGCTTATTCAATAAAGTAGTTCTGTTTAGCTGCAGCAATTAAATTAGCACAGAAAATACTTCCACATCTCTCTCATACCTTGCTATGTTCCTTTTCCTTCCAAATGTCACTACTGACCTTTTCTGCAGCTCTTCACAAGTATTTATGTTTTAAAATAATAACTGACACTACACCTAAGATTTCTGTATAAACCTGGACATCAGTACCACCTGTGGACCATATAACCAGCCATTTAGAAGAAGAAATTTCTTTGGCAGCTGTTAGGCACGGACATGGGATGTTTCCTCTGTATTGCAAGTTTTCTGAAGAAAGGTACCACTTACCAGACGATTCCTAAAAATTCTATTTTTTTTTCCTAAAAATACTAGTGAAGACACAGGAGGTGCTCTTTTGAAAATAAAAATAATACCTTTACTTAAGAATAAACACACACGTATCTACTAGAAAAGTAATGGTTATTTTCCTCTTCCACGAGGTGATGGCTTACATGAATCTGGACTTCTATGGATGACGTATCTTCAGGGGACACACAGAGATCACACAGGTAGCACTGAACTTAACACCTCTATGAACAGTCTCTTAAGTAGATTTGTGGTTTCTGTAGATGTGTAGATTAAATCTACATACAGACTAAAAATGTGAGATTTCAACAGCTGCTCAGTTTCCTGCCCTAATTTAACAAGTGCTGAGGCAGAGAAGATGAGGACAGTGGTACCTGCTGGGCTTGCAGAGGCATGGGGTTAGCGTTGCACACCTGACCAAGCCAGGATACTAAAACGATGCACCCTACAACCTGACTTATGCAGCCTGGATCTCTGGTGCCACAGAGCAGAGCTGAGCCTTGTGCCTGGCCCAGGATCTCCAGCAGCTCATTAAGGGCTTGTGGTGGTAGCATCTCACCTCATGTCCCACTGCAGGGAGCAAGGGCTGAGGGTGATAAGGCACCTTTATCCTCATCGATGAGAGGTAGGAAAAACCTTCTGCCATGACTCAGCTTTAATAAGAGGAAGTAAGAAACCCACTACCAGCTGTGGCTTCTGGCCAGGACAGCACAAGGACAGGAGATATCACAGTAAGGCCGCTGCTGCTTTAGCAGTGATAGAGACCATCTCAGTTTTGGCTGCTCAAGAAAAACAGCTGAATAAACCTGCCTCAGTGCCAATGGTTGATGATAACTCCCTCCTCTTGCAGTGGCTTTTCAAATTTATTTGGAGGAAAATGTCTTTTGTCCTGAATTAAGATTGCACTGATTTAAAAGCAAAATCCGCTGAATTACAAAAGGGCTATTCCATTCCCCATTGGCTCCTAGTGCCCCTGTAGATGGAAACTCTTACCCTGGGTACATGCCGTAACGCCTCATCTCCTGGGTTTAATGAATCAGCAAGTGCATGCTTTGTTTACAGGAAAGGACTACATCCTTCTCAAGTACCAGAAATTGTGGGAAAAGCCAGCATAAGCTGTGCTAAACATCCGATTGATTAGGCCCATAGATGGCAGGATGGGACTTTCCAACAAACACTCCTCATGCAGGTGCTCTGGGAGGATCACGTACTTCATACGCTTACCCAGAAAAAACAAACACATTTGGATGATACAGAGGACTTAGCCATGAATAATTAGCAAATTGCCATTCATTATTAATTTACTGGAACGACTGCTTCTCTGTATTTTTCCCGCAAGGCTCAGTCTTTCTATTTTACAGCTGCTGAATTTATTATTAATAGCTGGATCTTAGACATGGCCAACAAGTCTTCAGTTAGGGATATGATAAATTTTGTTACATTTGCAGTATCTGGGATTTTCAGAATCCCTGTATGTGAGATTCTTCCACAAACTGATCTGGCTGGCTGTCCCTGGGAGAGAAGTGGCTCTGGGTGACCTTCTGCTGGCTGTCCCCGGCTCACAGCAGCGGTGGGTTTGTCCTCTAGCCATGGGTAAGCAGCCATACCCCAGACAAGTTCTCCTGCCTCATCCCCGCCACGGGCACCACCAAGTACAGCTCCATCAATCCACCGTCTCCTTTGCTCAGTCCATGTCGCAGCCACACAAAGTCAGCTTCTACCTTGTCCTTACATTACTTTGCCCACTTTATGACTTTCTATTAGCTCAAGGTGGCCTTTATGGATCACAGTAAACTAGAGCCCTCTCAGTAGTAGAAGAAATAGTCCTTTTTTCTGGTATCCTTGGGTTTTGTATCTGTATAGGATGCAGACATCAATAACGGAGAATACGCTTAGCTCTGGCCCTGAGAAAGGCTCCCAGCTGTGCATGGCTACGATGGCACATATATAACGTATGCAGGGATGCGCAAAGAAAGAAAATACAGATTTTCTAACTCTGCTATACACATTTTTCTTTAAAAAACAAAACCTCAACAGCAGACAGAAACAGCCAATTAGCAATCACTTAGCGATACTGGGCAAGGCGCCAATGCCTAAGAGCGGAGCTGTGCAGGCACCCATGCTCAGGATTTGGAGCGCGTCCTCTGTAGCTGTGCGCCGTGACAGCGTTTTGATGAAAACCCTAGTGCCTCTGTGGCCCGTGGTGGTTGGGCAGGGGAACGCAGCAGGGCGTGAGATGGGGCTCCCGAATTGCGGCCGTCATGGGCAGCTGCGTTCGTGATGATATTCCAGCTGCTGCACATCTCAGACTGTATTGCACCAGTGTAATTAACAGTTTAAAATACATGCTAAAATAAGACATCAACATCTAATTTTTAACATTTGTCAAGTAACATGGTGATCAAATTATACTTAACCCTATATTTGGCTATCAAATGTTGCAACCAACCGTTAACTGCCAACACTTCCCCCACACATACCTGAACCAGTGCATATGTTCAGCTATCATTGCCAACAAAATAACATGTTAAGTAGCGTTTCACAAGAGAAAATTATTTCAGAAGGATTAACGTGTTCATGTTTAATAAGTTGCTACCCTGTGAGTTTTGGGGTTTTTTTTGTTTGTTTGGTGTTTTGTTTGGGTTTTTTTCCAAAGTGATACTCTTCCTAGATCACATGAGTGCAAACTATGAGCAAGGAAAAAACTCCACCAAATGAGTTTCATTCCCAACTGAAATCTAGATCACCGCTTTTTGGAAAAGTGATGTTTTATTTTGACTAGATTGAAAAAATCATAGTGTAAAATAAGACATTTCCTCTCGGTCTTTCAGCCAAACTTTTGAGCTATCATCCCATATTTTATTCCGTGAGGGCAGGATCAGACCCAGATTTCAGTGTTTTCTCTCAGACCGTTCTGCTCCACACATCCAATCTCTTTCATAATGGAGAACATTTACTTTTATGATTTGTAGCAACGTACTTGGTACTTCTATGACATTTTCAACCTCTGCATCTCAAAGTGCTTTTTAAGGGTGGCTACATGGTACCTCAACAATTCAAAAGTGATAAAATACTGGCAGCGACTAAGAGACAGACTCAGCTCTGCTCTGTTCAAAATTAAACTAAACCTTCATTTTACCTTCTTTGAATTGCAAACACACCAAATACTATTTGCTTCTGGCACAATATTCCTTTGTTCTCACTTACTATCAACAGAAAATGCAAGAAGTGTAACATTGTTTCCACTTTGTTAATGATTTCTCAAATATTAAATAAAATGGCAGCAAAGGCTTCATGCTATTTTCAGCTTATTACGTCTCTTCTGCAGTAATTTAGAATATCCTGACAATACATATCGTATAGGAAGTATATTCAGAAGGAAGTTTCATGGCTAAAAGGCAATAACCCTGGGATTTAAGTAACTGAAAAATCTACATTTACACTCAATAAGGAATATTGTTATGTAGAGAAAAGTGTGTAGTATATGTTCTAAGTTTGGCTTTCGCTTTTATCACTATTAGAACAGAATAGCATTGAAGTTCAACTACAGACATCTTCGGATGCCACTGACAGATGGCTAGATATTCAACAAATGTGAAATACTACAAATTCACAGATAAAAGTATTCAAGCAGGACATCTGAGCCCCACGTTGGGTAACCTTCATGCTAAAAACCTCAAAGCCCTGCTTTGCCTATCACAATGCTTATTGCCTTTTCCAAAAGACTTAACCTCAAGTCCTCCACAACTGCTCTGTACCAGAGGCCAACAACTGATAAACCGATAAAACCCAGATAGTCAGCTCAGTGTATTCCTTGAAATTAGCTGAAAGA